CCAGAGCCTCTGGAGTGGACAGGGTGATCCCTCCCAGCGGCATGCTGAGAAGCCCAACTCAGGTTGTGCCACACCCAGCTGGCTGCCAGGCTGGCGGCTGCTGCCGCTGCACACGTTGCATGCTTCCGGGGGAAACGCCACAGCCCGCTTTCATCACCCTCCCATGTAGATTCTTCGATGGTCCTGTAGTGAAGATTCTATAGATTCGAGCCTGACACCCTCCTGTGATAAGGTTCCCTGCTGGCTTTTTGTAAATTAAGTCAACAGCAACCATGAGTCTCTCAAGTGGTCTGTAGTGCAAGGAACCACACCTGCGCTGAGGAACAGGCAGACATACTTCTGGCTGGGGCTGGCAGGCTGCAAAGGGGGGCTTTGATGCTATTGAAGGAAAGATATCTCTTGAAACTTTTCCTAACGGGAGCCCATCAGCTACATTAAGATATGTTGTACGCTTCCCAGTGAGTCTAGAACAGGGTGACAAAAGAAATGTGCATTTGATGCTTAATTGGAACACTTCAGAGCAGCCTTTGCATGGGCCTGTGTCTGGAAGAGGTGCTGTGAGCCAGCATGTAAACCATAAAAGATTCAGCAGTGATTTGCAGCTTCTCAGACCAGCCACTTAGGACCTTGAGGGAGGAATCCATCAATATTTCCTTGGTGTCTGTGGGAGGCTTCCTAAAGAACACAGTGGGTTTCTGCAGGGTTAACTGGGGTTTCTTAGTGGCCTTGGAAGCATTTAAGAACTAGGTGAGTGATGCCAGGTCTCCTCACCGAGCAAAGCTGTGTTCAGATGGAAGCTACGTTTGTGTTTGGAGAGCTCTGCAGCTGGCTTTACTCTGGCATCAACTGTTGGTCTCTGTTCCTTTTGCTTAGTGTAGACAATGTGTACCATACTTTGGTCCCATCCCCCATGTTACCTTGTTCACCTCCACTCAATTATGTAGCCCCGGCTGGCTTGGGACTCACAGCGCCACCAACCTGTGCCTCCTGAGTGTAGGAATAAAGGTGTGCCACCATGCCCAGCCTCCTTTTCCCAAACCGTGCCCACCTTCATGTCATCGGTACGTATGTCCAATTTTAATCTAGATTCCATGTGAGAAGAAAAATGGGATATTTGTATTTCCAAATCTGACTTATTTCACTTTATAATCTTCAGTTCAAGCCATTTTCCTGCAAATGGTACATTTAATTCTTCTTTATAGACATACCGCTTTTGTATCCATTCATCTGATGACATCCAGCCTGGCTACAGTGAAGAGCTTCACTGTAAACATGGGCGCACATTGTATCTGTCGTGTGCTGCTTAGACTGGTGTAACTGGGTCGTATGTAGTTGTTTCCAGTTCTTTGGCAAAACTCGCATACCGATTTCATGTTGTCAGTGCTTTACAGTCTTCCCAGAAGCTCTTCCCCAACCCTAACCAACATGAGTTGAGATAGCGTCTCAAAGTGTAGTTCTGCATTTAACTTCCCTGGTTATCCTTTGTCTTGTGTGGTGTAGATGCACATGCGTGTGCAAAGGTCAGAGGACACTGGGCGCCTACTGCACCACTCTCCAGCTCAGGGTGCCTCACTGAACCTGGAGCTAGGGTGGCAGCCACCAGGTCCAGTGGTCCTCCTGTCTCTGCCCAGATGACGCTGGGATTACAAGGGCACAGGAGCAGCCACGCCTGGCTTTTTACATGGGTGCCGGCATCCAGACTTGAGTCCTCATGCTTAAGCACTATCCTTACTCACTGGGCCATCTCTCCAGACCCTTTGAGAACTCATTTGATTATATTATCTGGTATTTAATCTTTTGAGTACCTTGTTATGATCCTCTGTCCATCGAATGACAGAAATTTTCTCCCATCTGCAGGCTGTCCTTTGCTGTGTAAGCGATTTTTAACTGAAGATAGTCCTATTAATCAATTCTTGCTGTTGGAGTTCTCAGAAAAGACTTGGCCTATGTCTTCAAGTGTTTCCTCTGATCCACTTTCAAGTAACTTTAGTACAGGGTGAGATGTCTTTTTATTCTTTTACATGTAGGTGTCCAGTTTGCACACCACATTCATTGACGAGAGTACGTTTTCTCCTGTGTTTTTGACCCCTTTGTGGAAAATCGAGTTGCTGTAGCATGCATTTATTTATGTGTCCTCTAACTCTGGTCTCTGAGCATGCTGTTTGTGTTAATCCAGCGCTGAGTGTAACTGGAAATAAGGTGCCATGGTGTCTACAGTCTTGCTCTTCCTGCTTGTGAGTCTTTTGGCTAGTTGGAGCCATTTGTATTATAGGATTACTTTTCCTCACTATGAAAAATGCTTCGAGTCTGGATGAAATTCAATTTCTAAGTGCTGAGAAGTTTCTGGTAGAAGGCTTAGGGTATTAGCATAGGACTGTATCTTTGCAAACAGGGACCACTGTAATTCTTCCTTCTCTATTTGTGTCCCCTCCCCTTATTTCTTCCTCCTGCCTTATTAATGTGTCTGAGACTTCTAGCACAATATTGAATAAAATTCTAGCAAACCTTTATCTCTATCCCAAACTTTGGAGGTAATTTCCCCATTTACTATGTTTACTAGAAGTATGTTATAGCCTTATCGAAGTGTGTTCTTTCAAGAAGTTTAGCATGAAGGGATGTTAAAGTTTGTCAAAGGCCTTTTCCAGTCGAGATGCTGTAGATTTTTGTTTCTATAACTTATGTGTTGTTTACATTTGTTGAAGCATCCACACAGATCTGGATTAATTAAATCAAGATGACCATGCTGTTGATGACTTGGGTCTGGGAATGTATTGAGAACTTTGCATCTATGTCTATCAAAGAGTTTGGTCTGTGGCTTTCATTTATGTGCATGTTCTGTCATCTAGTTTTGAAACTGGAGTGATCCTGGGTTTTAAAAATGAAACAATAGTCATTCCCTTTGTAATTTAAAGTGCTCTTCGAAGTATTCTGTAAACTATTAGGTGTTAATAGTTTGAATTTAGCAAGTCTCAAGCACAGTAAATGGGGGGGGGGATTACCTCCAAAGTTTATTGGATAAAGTTGGAATAGACCTTTATCCTCATTGAGCTTAAAGTCTCAGACACAGCAAAAAGACAAGAGGAAGAAATAAAGACGAGGTGGGGGGAGATAGAAAAGAATTACAGTGGTCCCAGTATGCAGACACAATCCTATACTAACACCAAGTCCTCTACCAGAAAATTCTCAGAACTTATAAATAGTTGAATTCCATCCAGACTCCAAAGGCATACTTCATAGACTGAGAAAAAAAATAATCCTATAATAGTTAAAGGTGTCAGTTCATCTGTAAACATCTAGAATTCAGCAGTGAATTCAGACAGTGCTGGACCCATTGTTGGGAGACTATTAGTCTCAATGCTCACAAGAGATATCTTTGCTTATATCCTCTTCATTTATTATTCTAGATTTTCCAATCTCCTAGTGACCCCTTCAATTTCCCTGGTTAACTATTACCTTATTTTTTCTTTTGGTTTGCCTTAAGGGTTTGTCAGTCTTGTTTTATTACATACTGTTTGCAGGCTTTAAAAATCACACCGGCTGTCTGGGTTTAAGATTAGTACATTTTTATGTTGAAGAATCAGGCAGGTCAGGGACTGGAACCCAGCTCATAAAGGCCAGATCTCGATTCAATCCTTACCTTACTGGTAGTCAGGGCTCCTAACAAATGAGCTGTGGTAAACTCCAGGAGCTTTTCTGCATCCACTTATATGAGCTTTGGAATTGAATTGAGAACATACTCAAGACTGCTAGTCCCCAACCAGCCTCCATCTGCAGTGGACTAGTGCATGTCCACATCTGCAGTAACCTGGCCAAGTGGGACCAAGTGTTAGTCTCTATGCAAGGAGAGTTCACTGAGAATCAGAAAGTTCTGTGACGCTTACAATTTATTTCTAAATAGGCATGGAGATACCACTCCTTAGCATACAGTACAAACAACACTTTTCATGGGTGTAGGTTAAGATACAGTCTCCATTAAGGCTCCTGTCTTGTCTATAACCAGAGGACACAAGGTTCTGGGTGAATTACTTTATACCAATGGTAGGGCAAAGTCTGCCAAATACCAGATAGTAAATATTTTGTGTTTTTGTGGGCCGCATGCTCTGAAGCAACCATTCAGCTCTGTTCTTCCATCACCAAAGCAGTCCTAGAAGTCTATAAAAAATGGGCATGAGCCGGGCGGTGGTGGCACACGCCTTTAATCCCAGCACTCGGGAAGCAGAGGCAGGCGGATCTCTGAGTTCGAGGCCGGGCTGGACAGCTTCCAAAACAATACAGAGAAACCCTGTCTCGTAAAAACAAAAACAAAAAATGGGCATGACTCTGTTGTAATAAAACTTTATTTTAGCCGGGCGTTGGTGGCGCACGCCTTTAATCCTAGCACTTGGGAGGCAGAGGCAGGCGGATCTCTGTGAGTTCTAGGCCAGCCTGGTCTACAAGAGCTAGTTCCAGGACAGCCTCCAAAGCCACAGAGAAACCCTGTCTCGAAAAAAACAAAACAAACAAACAAACAAACTTTATTTTAGGCATTTTTATTATGGTGTTTTGCTTGTATGTATGTATGTATGTGCACCACAATGCATGTCTAGTACCCATGGAGGTCAGAAGAGGGGGTGTCCTGTCCTCTAGAGCTGGTGTAAAGGACAGTAGTAGGCCACCATGTAGGTGCTAGTAGTCAAACCCAGGTCCTCTACAAGAGTACCAAGTGCTCTTAACTGCTAAGCATCTCTCCAGACCCTAAAAATTTATAAAGCCATGTTTGGTCTTAGGAAGTAACCCCTTGTGCAAAGAAACTCACTTTTCTAGAAATCACTGATAGAGTCACATTCTAAGATATACAAACTGGCTGAAAACATTTCTAGGTAAACTCCTCCTAAGCTACAGTGTCATTAGGTATGTGGGCGGGGCTTATATACAAATGATACATTCTCTATTGCAGAGCAGGTGCTGCAGGTTGTGGAGACACCAAGGGGTTTCACTTGTTTTTCTCTTCTGTCTCTCAGGTCTGTTCCTTATCCTCGGACTGATACTCTACCCTGCAGGCTGGGGCTGCCAGAAAGTCATAGACTGTGGAAGGCATGCATCTCCCTACAAACCTGGAGACTGCTCTCTGGGCTGGGCCTTTTATACGGCCACTGGGGGCACGGTCCTTACATTCATCTGTGCTGTCTTCTCTGCACAAGCAGAAATTGCAACCTCCAGTGACAAAGTCCAGGAAGAAATCGAAGAGGGGAAGAACCTGATCTGCCTCCTTTAGTCTGGAAGACACGAGTGCCACTGTTACCTTTCCTTATGACTTGGGACACAGTCTTTGTCATTTGAATCGTGAGGAACCAGTCTTGACCTACCGGAGCCATATTCTACAGCCCCAGGCCTTCGTGGGACCAGTGAGGGGCATCACCCACCGAGCAGAGTTCTCAGGCATGCAGGCTGCAGTGCAAATAATGAGAGCAGACAAGGACATGGTTTAGCCCCTCCGTCTGCCCAGGGCTCAATGGAGGATAGTGATCTGACTCAGCGATCTCTCTGGCAGTTGAGGAGAGGCCAGCCAGCCCCAGGGCGGCTTGAGGCAGGTCTCTGGTCCACAGCTGTGTGTCTGTGAACATCTCAGAATGAGGGCAGGAGGTGGTATCTTGGTTTTCTTCCAAGTTGCTTCAATTGAGACTGAAAGGAAGATTACAAACTTACTGATGACAGGTTGTATGCTGAAGGTCACAGCAAGATGCCAGGTTTTGCTTAGCAGACCAAAGGGCTCAACAGGGACAGTGTAAAAATCCTGCTGCGGACTACTCTAGCTTGAGTTCCAGGGCAAGAGGCATCCATGGAACTATCCTCAGGATTTGAGTTAAGACAATCACCCCCGGCAGTCAGGCAGATGCTCCCTGCAGCCAGCCTAAAGTAGTCCTGTCTACTTAGAGTTAGTTTTCTCATGGGTTTGGGGTTGTGCTCGGCTGCCCAGGAAAACTTCAATATTAATTCCTTCGGAGGACAGCAGCCTCCAGACCAGCTGGGGCTCCTGCAGATGTTCAGAGGGAGGGGCTGCCAGAATGTACCTTTGCAGGGTGAGCTTTTCTGTCTGGTGACGGTGTTGTATAGTCAGCTGGCTTCCGGTCCCATTGGCATGCTTTGCAGAGAAAGCAGGACCTAGCTTTGGCAACTTTTATAGCTTCTGGTGTTGAGCCTGAGAACAGACTAGGTGACACTGAACCACTGCACCAAAAATCCCATCCCCAGGGAGGCAAAAAAATTAATACAGAAGTGGGGGCTGGGCCAAGCTCACCACATCTGCCTAAGCATGCTTACAAACCCCCACTAAATACCACTATTAGAAAGGACTCAGGGCTTTTAATCCAGTTTCCATAAATTACCTATATAACCAAAGCAGCCAGAAATACCAGTCTTGCAGATAGAGACCCTCTGCAGTAGCATAGTGGAGTGGACTCATTGGGTTTTAGAGCTATGTTCCACTAAGGGCTTTGTCTTAAAAGTTAAGTACCTTCTACTGGCAAGTGGTTGCTAAGCACAACCAGATACACAACCTGATTCAGATTCTACAGCCTTGCCCCAGTGAATCACTTGGAGCATGTCAGTTTAGAACCAAGTCTTGCTTCAGAACAACTGCCTTATATAGAGATGGGCTAGGCCCACTGGGGTTTAATTATAGTTTGTTTGCCCTTTGGCCTATACCAGAAACCATCTTATCTCTCACGAAGAGAAAGGTTAGGGAAGACAGTATTGAATCAGATCTTAAGTTCAGTTTTGAACCAGTGTTCAAAATCAGCAAGGTAAAGATGCTGTGGCTTTAGAATGAGAGAGAGGCAGGAGGGCCCTAGGAAACAGAACAGATCTCCAAGAGCATGGCCACACAGCATGTGGGAAGACTCGTCCTTCTGCCAGCACAGTGACTGTATCCAACCTGGGCAATACTTGGCGTGAAATAGTTTTGTTTGACAAGAATACTTTGATTCATTTTTAGGTATTTTTACATACAAACTAGTTCCAAGCCAGGGATCCTGTATGAAAGCCCATTGCCTGTTCCTTTGGTAAGGTGGCAATGGACTATGTCAACCTGGTAACAGTCACAAATGAAAATGTGCCAGATGAAGTTACTTAACGGTGTTTTTCATTAATTTAAATTAGAGAAGGACCCCCAAAAGGGGGTAACAGATTAAATGCCACGCTATTGAAAACTACCTAGATGCTGACTTGATGGAGCAGAGAGAGAAGGACATCCAGCATTTGAGATCTTCAAACCAAGATACAGACGTTTGCAGGGAGGGAATGAAAGGCCTATCTACAATCATGCCACTGTAGAGTGAAACTTTCCTTTGGCTCTTTAAAACCATTTGTGGGCTACACCCATTTTTCTAGTAATAGAACCGTTCCTACTACAGGAAAGGTCTTTGCCTGTGTTTGTGCCCGGCCTCTCAATGAACACTAAAGCAGAGACACGTGAAATCTGTGAATTCTTTAAACCTGTGTGGTAATTCAACAGCATGACATAACTGTGGAAGGGTTTCTGTGTAGTTCTGAACATCTGTGATGTAATGAATGGTTTTTGTTAAACATGCATTCTGTAAAGTGCCATAGTCTTTATGTGTAGCATATTTAAATATATATATCACATATATACAAGTTTGTCTGAAAGATGTGCAATAACAAAAGTGTTTTGTTTGGGGAAACTGGACATGCTTCAAAACAGAGATGTTTCTGTTTTGCAAAGGAGTTAGACATATTTGCCTTCACAGCTAGTCATTAGTCCCTAACAATTTTAATGCTATGCAAACCTTATGTGAAGAAAAGACTGGTATGAAGTCATGTTTTCCTGGGTCTAAATGAAGAAAACGATCACTGTATTTATGGGAGACTCAATCCAGCAAGCCAGGCCCAGTCAGTGCTAGTCTTTTGTGTAAAATGTGAAGCTGCCATGTTGCCTTTTCTGTTAGCCTGATAACTAGTTGCTGGTATAGGCTAAAGAGCTATTTTTCATGAGCTTTTGTAGACCGTGTTCATGCTAGGCCACTATATTTAAGGGCTAGTCTCACACCTTAGCCATCAGAGTCTGGCTTATGACAGACCATTCTGTGCAATAACATGTGGCTGCTGGAAATCCCGGGCCTGCATCTGTGTTTAGGGGAGCAGAGACCCCCCAAGGCCAAAAGAATACAAGGGATGAGTGGGACTTCTGAGACTGTGGAGAAACTCCTTCTGTAGCCAACGGGGTCCTTAGGTGCTGTGAAGAAACTCAGCACCACTGGATGTTCAATAGCCACTTGAGCCAAATATAAAGTTGTACTTCCAGCTCATGGACTCAATTGGAGCCTTCCTATGTGTGCTTATCCTGTTATATTGTAAACTAATACATTCTTTGTCTAGCATTGATTAGGATTCTTTCTGTACATAGAATTTCAGTGTGCTCCCTTCCTCCTTCAGATCTGAATTAAATCAGATTTTGCAAACGCATTCTTTCGAGTTTGACTATGTTTGCTTCAATACAGTGCACATAATTTTGTCACAAAAACCAATCAGGCAAAATTTAAAGATAACTTATTGTAACACTGACATCAGGAAAATTATGCAGGCATTTTCTACTGCTGATTCTTAACTTACCCCTATACCACGGGCTGCCTTTATTTTCCTACTTGGAGGAGAAGAACTGACAATGATAGGCATCTTCATTTTAAGATAAAGCCGTCAGGTGCCAAAGTGCTGAAAGCATTTGCTAACCAAAAGGTGTGTCCTCTCTTCTCAAAATTACCCAGAAAAGCCAGTACTACAGAGCCTTAGACATCCACAGTCCCTAGAGGGGACCCTGACCAAGAAGTCAGGCCACCTGATCTATAAACTTGATAATTAAACACCATTTCCATAAACCCGTTCAACTCTGCACCTTCCCAGGAATACATACTGTCAGAATAGACCAGCAGGGCTGTTGCCCTGACCTCACTGCTGGTACACAGAAGGCATGTGCACGCTTTGGTTGCTGAGCAGAAATGACTACCACCAGGTTTCCAACTGCAGTCAAAGTTCAAAGTTAGGGCCCCAACCACTGGAGGAAATGGTTTTGAGACAAATCGTCCAGATGCTCCCAGAAAAATCAGCTTTGCTGGCACGTTTTCAGGCATTGCTACATTGTACTCAAAAGTAAACCTGCAGAGAAAGCACTAGACTTCAGTTTGAGCAGAGGCTGGGACATGGTCCCATGTGTTTGCCTTCCTCAGTCTACGTATGGAGGGGGGATGATATGTTCACATGCAGAGGGGCCAGACAAGGACATCAGGTATCTTCCTCTACTACTCTCTTACTTATTTAGGTTTTGGGTAGGCTTGCTGGCTGGCTGGCTGGCTGGGAGTTCCCAGGAACTGCCCGTCTCCATCCCCTAATGCAGGTTAGAAGCCCATGCAGTTATGCCGTTTGTATATGGGAATTCAAACATAGGTCCTCTGCGCTTGCATAGGAAGTACTCTTACCTACTGAGCCTTCTTACCAAAGCCACTCTTAAGTTTTTACAGGGAAGTGTTTTCTCACCAGATCTAGAAAACATACTCAACTTCCTCTGTTAGAGTCCCAGAAAGTTTTTATTACCCTGGGCATCCCTGAGTGGACATTGTTTCAAGTAACTCGGCTCCTTTGGGACATTGAGCTCGAATGATAGGAACATTGCAGCCAGCAGGACTCCAGAGAGCAACAGGGCAGAACCTCGCTCAGCAGTTTAGCCATTTCGTGAGGCTGGCTGTCCCCTTCTGCCCTGCTATCGTCTTCCTTTCAACTTCCTCTCCTTAACCCAGAGACTTCTGCAGTCTCTGCAAGACATGAAGTGCTAATTTTGCTTAGGCATGCACACAGGATACAGATAAAAGCACAAATAGAGGAAGTACGAACATCCAAACACGTGGCAAGGAGAATCCGTCAAATAACATGCAGCCATTAGCAGCCTTTTCCATTTTAACAGTCAAAGCCTAAAAGAGCCAATATCAACAGGCACGCAATCCCTGAAGTGCCAGTATTTGGAAGAAACCTCCAATTTACTTAGAGAAAAGCAAGGACAAATTACAGTGGGAAGAGGAAAGGCACTGGGAGGAATTCAGGGCATTAAAAGGAAAGGGGACAGCAGGGAGACCAACCAGAAGCAGGAAGGCATGGAGAGGAGTCTAGGATAGCTGCAGCATGCAGTGTGGACTCTGGGTAGGGAATAATACAGCCACCATGATGGAGGCCAGAAGAGTTGGGGACAAAAGCTACCACTGGAGACGATTTGTATATAGCTGGGAACAGACCCAACAAAAGGCAAGGTCAGAGACAGACTGGAGAGGAGAGGCAGCTTTGGCTACTGTGCACATTATGTGGCTAGCACTTCAGGAGTCATCGGAGGCCAAGAGGTAGAAGCCTTCTTACATAGGTAGATACCTGCCATCGATGAAACGTTAGGGAAGTTCTCTGCCCCAGTTAGACATCTAGGAAATACAAAGCCAAGGATCAAATACAGGTCTGACGTCAAATATCTGTGCTGCATGTCCTTCCTAATGGACAACGGAAAGGGTCAGCTGGGTGTGCTGTCTCTCCGTGGCAAACATGAGTGACATTAGCCATATCTCCACAAAGGTGGCACCTGCCCCCTCCTCCCTCTCAGGAACCTAGCAAATCCTTCATGTTTGAAGATAACATTTTAATTCAGCACATTCCTAAAGACAGACAGCAGCAATTCCGCTTTCATCATATTTCAGTGAGGGAGACCTAAGTCATGGATTATCTCGGAGCCAAGGAAAGAGACCATTAGGATCACACAAGCATAAGAAACCTAATACTTATAGATTCATCCTCAACTTTGTTCAGAACACAAATACCAAAGACTACTTACCCCAGCTGCTAAGAACAGGAGGCAGGAATTTGTCTGCTCACTGAGGTGGGAGCTCTGGTCAAGGTATGTCAAAAACGGTATTATTTTTTGTCTTGGGTAATGATCCTTTTCCAAAGGTCTGTTGTTTCTAAAGATGGACATAGGCTACCAGAAACGTGGAAGGGTGAGAGGGAGCTCAGGCTAGAGAGAAGCAACCCCTGACTGGGCAGAGGTTTGAGGACCTGGCATCGGCCCTTCCTCAGACCTTCACCACCTTTACCCGGTTACCTTGTGAGAGTTTCCCAACCCTGCACAGAAAATGGTGACAATTAGCAATTACATCACAGATTTGGTGTCAGGATTAAGGAATTTACAGAGAGCACTTCATGTAATCTCTTCTAAGTCATTGACATGGTAAGAAAACCAAGAGAATCCTGTCTTTGTAAATACTTGGAGTTTATTTTGTTTTGTTTACCTTTTTTGGACAGGGTCTCTGTGTGGCCCTGGATGTTCTGGAACTTGCTATGTAGACCAGAATGGGCTTGAAACTCAGAGATACTCCTGGTCCCTGGTTCCTCAGTGCTGGGATTTTAGAAGTCACATTTTGTGAAGGGTAGTATAAAGTGTTGGCAAAAATGATCAAATTTGACTTACTATAGAATTAGACTGGCTACTTGAGGCCAATCTCTCTTTTTCCTTTTTTTATTTTTTAGTTTTTAAGACAGGGTTTCTCTGTGTAGCCTGGCTGCCCTGGAATTAACTCTGTAGACCAGGCTGGCCTTGAGCTGCTTTCCAAGTGCTGGGATACTGGGGTCAAAGGCTTGTGCCACCACCACTATCGAGGCACTGCTTCTTTGCATCTTGTTATAATAGAGCACTCAGCTAATCATCTTTACCTTACAGCTTTCAGGTAGGGGTTAGTTCCTCTGTGGATACAGAATACATTGTTCTTACGTAGAGAAACACCACCACCCCCAGCAAATCGGGTGAGCAAGTCCGCAGGTATGGGACACCAGAATGCTTAGGACAGCAGACCTCCTGGTTACTTACACAGTCTTATGGGAATAGAAGGTTTTTGGAAAAGGAAAAACACCTAGTGTTGACTAGGATTTCCAACTGATGGAAGAATAAATTGATAAATTCTTCTGGAGAGCCATTTGGCAATTAACTTTCAGTTTGGCAATTTTTCCTAAGAACTTCGTAATAATACATTTGTTGACAAATCATTTCTAGTTTTAAAAAACCTCAAAAATCAGAATCTAAGACTATAACAAGATTTTGATGATAGCTACATGTGTTTATATAGTAAACTGGAAAAAGGCAACAAACCATTGTGTAAGTTAAGACATTGGTTCAAAGAAAAGGGAAAATAATCCAGGGTAGATCGGGGACTGAAAGTAGGAATATGGTGGATGGCTGAGCTGAGACAAGCAGCGAGGCCTCTTAGGTGAAGGAAAGCTCTGAGGCCTGTCCCGAGTTCACACAACTAGCCACCGAGCGAGTTCTCCCTCTCACTATCATCAGCTCTGTTAGTTGCTGGTTTCTTCTCCATGGCACAATACAGCGCCCCATATTCAGTTCTGCAGTGGTAGTGTCTTTCTAAATACATCTACATCGAGAATTAAGATGTGATGAGATAGACTCACCACAGTGTGCTTGCACCCTGGCTTGATGACATCCGGTACCAATGTGGTCTTCAGGGGCCCAAAGAAGTGGGGCTTTCTACAGCAGGAGACATGGCCATGAAGACGTGTGCAGGGCATGCTACAGGATGTGCAGAGAAATCTCACTGCCTAGTTTTAGGAAGAAACTTATTTTCCTAGAAAATTTAATAGAAAAAAATACAAGCCAGACCTTAATAAAGAGCTATCTGTATAAATAAAACTGAGAAATTTTCATTAGCTTCTTGTGCTCATATTGTCTGTAATTTACACTGACATGTGATAAACTTTAAATGTTACTTTTATAATCATTGGGTCAGATGTTATAATACTAAATGAGAGGAAAGTAGAACTCTGAGAATGTGCACTCATTATACTGCTTAACTCCATCTCTCTCTCTCTCTCTCTCTCTCACACACACATACACACACACACACACACACACACACACACACACAGAGAAGAATGGAAGAAAGCCCAATGAAACACTAACAGAGGCATCCCCAGGGGATGGGAGTAAGGGCTCATTTGTCTTTCAATTTATCACCTTCTCCATTTCCCAAATGTTCTATAGCCAGGATGCATGTATGGCTCTCACACCAGGGAAATGACTTAGATGTGCATGCCCACACAGTTCGGTTTCTGTGTAGGAGGCTGGGATACTGTTGGAAAAAGTACCATGATGAATAAGGGGCAGTAATTTTAATTGCTTTTTCTCTTGGACCCAAACACCTGGTTCCAACACCTAGCAACAATCACAATGGCTTCAACCATTACTTGTTTTGAGAACCATGCCCCACAAAAAAAATAACATTTAAGGAGGAATCCCAGGTCTATATTCAAATAACTAGGGCTCAAAAATAACACCAGCATGGTAGAATTCTTCAAAAACAAAAGCTGTTTTTGTAGACAAGGTAATACCCAGAATGACCTTATAAAAATATTTGTTACTTGCATTACAAGAAAATGTACTCTTTTCTAACTCTCCTGGGTAGAGGAATGACAGGCTTTAGCATGAGGTATGTTTCACTATACCAGGAAGTCATGCCAAGCCCAGAAATATCGAGCTAAAAAGCGCACAAAGTATACCGCTCCCTGCACTGTCTCCCAGCGGCTCCCACATTCCCATCTGAAAACATCCACCACTCCAGGGGAAACTGCACACTTGTCCTGCCCAGACCACAGAGCTAAGTGTTGATACCAAGTCCACAGGAGGGGAGAAACTAGAGAAGAGCCATTCCCTGTCTCCCAAGAATCTCTGAACTGGCTGTATGTGCCTGACCTAGCGCTAGGCGGTTAGTGATGACACCTGCATAGAAGGCTTTCACAGAAGGTCTTAGCTCCCTCAAAACTGTGACAAAATCCAAAATAAGGCTTTAAAAACCCACCAAAACAACATGCATATTGTTTTGCAAAATGTACCCAAAACTTCTTGCAGAACTATTTTAATTTTCCTAATCATGGAAGTACAATTTCCTAAGTCTAGTAAAGAATATTTGTAAAAATAAAATCATTTATGTGCCAACATAAAAATGAATAAAAACACTTTAAAGTAGCTCCAAAATTTAAAAAGTATTATTCTACCATAACTTGTAATACGATGTTTGAAAAACCTACCAAAGTAAGGTCTTGAGCTAGCCTCAGTTATTTTAAATTTATCATCCACTCATCTCCAAAGGACCTTGGGTCCCTTTTAGAACTTTCCTTAAGGGAAAATGAAAGGGAACACAGGAAAAGTGGGTCCTGAATGTGATTAACTGTGTAATATTGGCACAAATGTGACTAAGACAACCGAGAATCAGACATTAATATCAGTGTTCTTGAAATGGACACATTGAGTACAGAGCAGTATTCATAATTGCAGGGACTAATATCACCTGAAATCCCCACGAAGTGCAAACCACCTCCACACAGATCACAGAAAGGAGCTCCTAGTAAACTGTGAAAATGCAAACTCACTTCTTAAAATGGAAAACAGTGTTTCTTACTTTAATTCAGCATGTATTTCTCAAAATAAGATATGCTGTAAACATGACTTTAAATTCAACTTTACATTGTCTTTAGTCATCAGGTGAGAACTCCAGTACACAAAATAGGTTCATCCATGCATAAAACAGCAGCAGAAAGCATGGTCAGGGAACAGTTCAGGTTTCAGCAAATCAATTCAGTCCTGGGACAGAGGCACCCATCTGAACCCAGGAAGAAAACCTAGGCCAAAAAGCTAATGAACTTCTGAGTGTTTGCCCACCTCAAAATAGTCATCATATCTAATGGTAAAGCTCACATTCAACAACCTATAAAGGCCCAATGCAATAGAAAAATCGCCAATTTGTGTTGCTGAGGGTTTTAAACTAAATCTTTTATGCTGTGTTTAGCACATAATAAAAATCAAATGTGAGGGGGCTGAACAGCTGGCTCAGCAGTTAAGAGTACCACTCCTCTTCCAGAGGACCCAGGTTCAATTCCCAGCACCCACATGGCAGCTCACATAGGGTTTGCCTTAGACCTGAGACAATCCCTCTTCCTCCACCTCCGCAGTAACTCCAATTTCAAGAGATCTGACACCCTCATACAGACATGCATGCAGGCAGAACACCTATGCATATAATACAAATAAATCACCTAAAAAACCCAAATGTGAACTATAAGCTACAAGTATAATTTCGGCCTCTCCATTGCTAATACAGTGTTTAAAATTATGCAAACAAACATCCAGTAAACATTATTTTATTTTATGACACTCTGCATTAATACAATAAATATACAAAACTTCCAAACCACTGAAAACATGCAACATGAGAGGGACAAATGGAGGGCATTTACACAGAACCGTGACAGTTGCCATAGGGCAGTGCAGTATTACGCACCAACAAAATATGCAAACATCCCTAGAGAAATAAACTAAGCCCCTAATCACAAATCACCAAGCAATTATTTTCCAGTGTTCAGACCCTATATTTAAATAAAATAGCCACCATTTAATATCGAAAACTGAAAAGTGACATGGATGCCTGTTCTACATGAAGCTCATTTCATGGCTGTGGCACCAGGTGACGTTGGTATTAAGTAGGAAAGACTAGTCATCTTTCACCAAATGAAAATGCACTATTGACCAACTGTTGAGAGAATGGTAAACCTGCAATTTCAAGATGTTTTCACACCTGGCCCAGCCGCAGACACTACCATCATTTTAATGCTCCCTTTGTGTTTTCAAACATAATCTCTTTCAAACTTGTATGAACCCAAACAACTAGATTGAGCAACCACATTTTCCTGTTCATACATAAAAACATAATGTGCTATAACTATTCTTCGCCATTTAATAATGCTATTCTGAGGACCTCTACATAATGGAGAGGAATATTCCCATTTTTGAAGGAAAGTATTTTTTAAATCTCTGGTGTATCTTTCATTTGTACTTCAGAGACAAACAAGCATGGATTTGGAATATAAGTACTTGGTCTATATGTGTACTTTTATAGTCTTGGTGACTTCAGTGTCTATAAAATCCATACTCAATGGAGCACGACCATAGCCAGGTCTCACTGAGGCCTCAGGCTCTCAACTGCCACTGAGCTGGGTGAAAATGAAGAGGAGATTATCAGTAATCAGAAGTGTTCATAAATACAACTTCAAATTCATTTCCTGAATCTTACTTTCTTCTAAATAAAAGAATTATCTTCATTACTCAGTGAATTCCCAAGCAAATCTAACACAGCCCGTGTGGGCGAACATGTGATCCAGTATCCCACCGATCTTCTACATGAAGACCAAGAACTGTGCCCAGTCCAGTACCAAATTCCCCGACTCCAGATTTAGGGAAAAGACTAAAGTGTCTCAACCATTTAAGACCATTTTAAAGTTTTCCTGTCTTAGCAACCATCCTTGCTTAAAATCAGCTTGGATAAATCACAACATATCATTCTGCAATCTAAAACTAGTAAGACTTTCAAAATAAAACAGTCTGACTTACAAATGTTCTTGAGACATTTAATTATTATTAAAAATGATTAAAAGTTTGAACTCACATCAACCTGTGCTGCAAAGTAACAATGTCAATATGATTATATTAATAGTTAACACATTTAACTGTACTTGTACTTTCTTGCTTGGTGTGATATCTTATATGTATTTAGTCTGTCTCAAAAAGTAAAAGACAGGTACATTAAGAAATCAAGTATATTAGAATGCTAGGGTCTTTTATTTTTAATGCAACTAAAAGTAAGAGGCTAAAAGAAAAATCCCTTAAATACTGTATGTTCTTTTTATTCAAGGGGTAGGCTAGCCTTTAATACCTGTGCCAAAATCTCCCTCCCTCTCTGTCTCTGTCTCCCCCCTCCCTCTCTCTCTCCCTCCCTCCCCCTCTCTCTCCCTCTCTTTCTCTCTCTCTCTCTCTCTCTCTCTCACACACACACACACACACAGAGCTGCAAAATACAATCCCAGTTCAATTAAAAAGATTAGCCAGAAGAATATACCAAAGTTTTCATACAGTAAAATTTTACTATATGAATACTGAAATTAAGAAGTGGGGGAGGAATTATCACTATATTCTATTGCATCAATTCACTACCTTCTCTTTTGCACATTATATTAAAGTATTTATACTCCAGTAAATTTTACTTAAAAGAAACTATTACAGAAAATCATTTCTGATTCTATAAAGAGCCCCAGATCCTACCACTATAAGCAGTACAGGAACCCAAAATACTAATTCGTTTCACTTAAGAGACTTGGTACCCATGCAAGGTCAGAGATTGTTATCAAAATATCAACTAGTCTAAAAATAAAATAAAAGAAGGTAAAATATACATTATCTACTACAAAGCACAGAGGCTCTTCACTGGTGACTGAGCCTCCTAGAAAGCAAGCCAATCTAAAAACACCCAAGTCTTTCTGGCCTCGTTCCTGCAATATTAACAGAGAAAGAAAAGAAACAGTTTCATTTCCAATGTACAACCCTTAGCTGTACTGACTCCTGGAAGAAGCGCTGTGATTAGTATCGAGTGTTTTTAAATCTTAGTCATATACTCATTTCAGTGTGTCACCACTGAAATAATCTGAGGAACACCATCCCCCAAAAATATGGAGAATATTTATTTAGCAGATGGTAGTTTTCTTCTGTGAAGGGCATGGACATATTAAGAAACTATTAGGTAAAGTAATGGTTTTAGACCATGCACATGTGAATAGGAAATACCCATGCTGTGTGTATTGTGTGTTTCCAACATAAAAATATCTGTAGAATACAGTAACTGGAGAAAAAAATACAGTCGAAAGTAACAGTGCACTGTTGCAAGGCCCTCTATATCTGGTTACCCTTGAAGGCATTCTGCGCCGCACTGGTTGCTGCAGTTGAAGCTGCATTTGCAGCCGCAGTCTGGACAGTTTTGTTGGACATCACTCCTGTTGCAAACTCTTGCTGGGCCTTTTCAAAGCTAGCACCTGTTGTGCGATACAGTCCATGTACCTGCAGAGGCAGAAATAAATCAATGCGAGAGGTAAGTGGTAATCGATGCGTGCACTGCCACCTGGAAAAAAAGAAAAACCACAAAATCAGCTTTCTACCCTAGGTCCAAAATAAAGCAAGGGAGATGAACAGAGCGGAATTAACAACAGCATAGTGCTTTCAAAGAAAGTAAACCCTGCTGCTGGGCGGTGGCAGTGCACGCCTTTGATCCTAGCACTCAGGAGGCAGAGGAAGGCGAATCTCTGTTCCAGGCCAGCCTGGGCCATAGAGCGAGTTCCAGGACAGCCAGGGCTACACAGAGAAACCCTGTCTCAAAAAACAAAACAAAATGGAAAAAAAACCCTGCCACCTTTAGTATAAACAGACCACCATTTATATATAATAGGACATCCTCAGGCAGTATTTACTCTGGGAGTCACTCCTCTGAATCACATGCTTCCAAGTCCACATGACCCACAAATGAAAAGGACATCTGAAGATCAGACATTTCAGTAAGCTTTTTTTAAATTAAAGCACTTCGATAAACTTAGTTTTTAAGGTGAAAAAACTTAAACTTTTAAAATGCAAAAAGTCATTAGTAACTAGTATATTAATGCGGACATGAGTATTTATGAACAAGTCCCCAAATTCCATAGAAAAAAATGAAAACCAGATTCCCAAAAGAATACAAATTGTGTATTGTCCACTTGTCACTTCAATATTCAGCAGTTAAGGAAGGGCAATGTCTAGAGGCTCTGGCAGCTTTCTGAAACTCATGTGTGTCTAGCTAACGGACTCCGTTAGAATATCTACCATTGTAGTCTTCAAACACCACCCAGTGCTTTCTAATAGTTCACTGTAGAAACAGAGCATTTAACACAATTAGAAACAATTGGCAGGGCCAGGGGGTGGTGACATTCGCCTTTAGTCTCAGCACTCAGGAGGCAGAGGCAGGTGGATCTCTGAGTTCAGGGCCAGCCTGGTCTACAGAGTGAGTTCTAGGACAGCCAGGGCTACACAGAGAAACCTTGTTTTAAAAAGACAATGAAACAAACAGTTGAGGGAAAAACCAAACCTATCCATGAAAGCTAAGGATTTCTGCCTGTAAAGCAGCTCAGGAGATACAAATTTTTCAACACTCCAAATCTGGACTAAGAAACACCACCATGGCAGAAATCAAGGCACACTGAGCATCCAAAAACAACAATAGCCAGCTTTAGTTGTGTAAGATTTCAGGATGATGATGAGTTCTCAACAGTACATTCATTTTCATCAAAACAACTACTGCATAGCAGATTTAGCAAGGGGTGAAGGGAGGACAAGGCGGGCAAACCACTAGTCAAGGCAGGAACTGTATGCATGGACCTTCCTGTGGGCATGGACTGTCTATGAAGAGCCTGACCCCTAGTGGTGATAAACTAGGGCTGCATATTCCAACAAGGGCTCTTGTTTTCTGGTTATTTGATAATTAGTTATTAGTTTTTAAGTCAGTGTTGAAGAATCAGTTGTTCTCGGACCTCAGTTTAATCAGAGCTAGAGAAGATATGAGGATTGCTGACTGCTTCAAATTATAATTTAGTTTATATTGCCATTTACTACCCTTCAGGACATCACACGGAAAACCATCCGAGCTCCTCACTTCATGGTAAGAATGAGATAGCGCCAACTGATGGTAAACACATAAGAGTCAGCCACTAACTTTAAATAATGAGTTTAAAAATTGACTAAATATCAGAGTATGCACAAAATGCTAGTAAGTACTTTTATCCTATTTGGGAAATAAACTTAATTTGAGTGCCTGGCAAGTGAACATGAGCTCCATTATGCAACTGTCCTTCCGTGGAAACAGTAGAAGCACCAGGGGAAAGGAATCCCTGACTGGAGTTCAGACTGCACATGGCTGACACAGCCACTGCAGAGTAAGTGCTCCCTCCACGCCTGCCTCCTACTCTCTTCTCAGGTTGGAGTGTTCTGGAGAGTTCTGCCCTTGGCCCACATCTGGCTCTGTGCTTCTTTGTGTTTTCTCAGGCTTCAATGACCTTTAAGGAAGCCAAAAGGCCCCAGCCTGAAAGCCCAGCTTAAATTCCTTTGCTGCTTCTACTTGTCTGTCTAGAAGTCTACCAGGCTTACCCAGACATGTCTGCACTGCTAGGACTTCAGACTCCTCATAAAACAGGAGGTCACTTTGACCTCACACTGCTCTTTATTTTGTGCATGTGGGGGACACACCATCAGTACCTGTAGGTCAGAAGACAGCTTGCGGGTCCTCTCCTTCCACCCCATGGGCCCTGGGCAGACCCAGGTGGCTGGGCTTGGTAGTAAGCACCTTTACCCACTGACCCATCCCACCAGCTCCAAACCTGTTCTTCCTAAATGGCCTATCAGCTAAAACATATCCTTGAGGAGAGTCCAAATAGAATGAGCCCCAACCTTCTCATAATGGGGGTGTTAACCCAGGCTACCATCTCAACTGGTTTCCTGTCTTGTTTTTAAGTCCTATACCCTAGCCCACAAATCCCACATCTACTTCAAGATAACTCTCCCAAAACTTGTCACATCAACCCGATCACTCTGCTCCTCCTTTTATGAACCACCACCTTTTGGAGAAGATGAAAACTTTTGAATAAGGTCTCCTGGTTTGCAGGGCCCTGCAGGATCTATGGATACTGATGTACCCTCTACACAGATACCTAGTGTTTTCTCCGCCTCACCCAACACCAACTTACTTCCCAATCCCTTTTTAAGCCCTTCGATTTGCCACATTGTAGTCTCACAACTCCTCCCTGCTTATCTTCTATGTGTGTGTGTGTGTGGCGGGGGTCCCGCTCATTCTTATTCCTTTATGTAGACAACTATAATGATGGGCAGTCATCATTGTATGTCAGTTAAGGCTTTATCTTGGCATGTTGGCACCTGTCTTTATTCCCAGATACCCTGGGTCTGGGAGGCAGGAGGAGAGCTAAAACATAGGAATTGAGGCTAACTTAAATTTTACAGCAAGAACCTAGTTCTCAAAGTCAAACACTAAAGAAAAACAAAACTAGACTCCCAAAACTTTGTATGCACTCCCTAGCTCCCTATGCTCCCTTCTGTGACAGCTACGAAATGACTGGATTATGGTACACATTTTCTTGTTTTTTCTCACACCACAATGTGAACCAAGGGCTCATGCATGTATAGCACTTGGCATAGGTACACACTTGACAGCTGGTTTTACAAGAAAGAAATGTACAGAATACCACAAAGCCTGAATGAGACTCTAAACTTCCTGTAGGTGTTTGCCTAGAAAGCAATGAAGTCCTGGGTAAAAACTGAGTGTGGCCATGCATTCCAACAGTCCCAGAACTTGGTGGGTGTAGTCAGAAGGATTAAGAGTTCTTATTTTGAAGCTGTGTGTGTGTATGTGCATGTATGTATACCTGAAACAAGAAAAGAATTCTCCTAAAGAGAGGTATTAATGGTGGCTAGGAACAGTTTCCAATTATTAAACCAAAAGAAGGTATTTTGTAGATGAGAATGCACTATTAGTTAATATAAGAGCAGAGCATTAAAGATGATCTTTCTCTGGCTAGACCATAGAAAAGGCATAAAGTAGGGCTGGAGAGAGGGCTGTTAAGAGAGCTTGCTGCTCTTTCAAAGAACTAGAAGTGGGTTCCTAGCACCCATGTCGGGCAGCTCCCCGGGAGCTGGGATTGACATGTGAAACAAACTTGTTTCTAAAAAAGGAAAAGAAAAAAAAGTTCTGGGGGGCATTTTTCATTTCCATCCTGCACCACTGTGGCCTCCGTCACGCGAGAGGCTCTCCCTGGGCCTCTGAGATCAGGTTCCGCTAAGGCTAGCCCTCCCTGTTTTTCTGTCCGTCTGGCCAGTGAAGCTGGAAAAGAGAATTAAGCTTTATAGTGAAAAAAAGCACATAAAGGTCTGATTTCAAAACTGAATTTTGAGGCTGAACCACAATAAAGATTTCATTGACTGTATCTAAAGGTACAGGTGCAGGAGCCTCATCTGAAATGCCTGGCACCAAAGAGGTGTCTGATTTCTGAATACTGCACACATATCACCCGATGCCCTGGGTGGGACTCAAGTCTAAACATGAAGCTCCATTTGTATACATATACTCCTGTGGAGTTTACACAACATTTTAATGTGTTTCCTTTCCGTAACTATAATAATCTCTCCTGTGAGGTTAGGAGAGGAATTTTCCTCTTATGGCACCAACTCCATGCTCAAAAAGTTTCTTATTGTTGAGCATTTTGGGTTCTGGATTTTCAGATCACGGATGTTTTCACTTTTTATATCAATCTTAAAATATGGTATCATTTTTACATGTGTCTAGATATAACCATAAATCCTAATCCTTGGAGAGCAAGCATGCAGAACCCCAGAAATGAGCTTGGGTCCCACTGGTCTGGCAGCAGTGCGGCTGACGGGACCTGACATGAGTGTCACAGTGACATGTCCAGAGACCAGTTCCCACTTACTTTTTTAAACATGACGAGTGAGATAACTGCTGATGCTGTGAAAAGTGCCGCGATCATTATCATCATGATTCCAACCGGGATGTTCTTATTGAGACCAGTAAGGGATGAAATCCAACCACTGCAGAACAGCAAAAGGACAATTAGGGAGCTATGTCAATGAACCTCTCAAAAACAATATGTTAGGCACCTCAGCACCTGGACCATTCTCAGGATCCCGTAGGACGCTGCTTGTTCTACGGATGAGGGACTAACTCAGACCTTCAGTGTCCAGGTCACACAGCTGAGAAGCTCCAGTCTGAATTCGCCAGCAGACCACACTCCTGAGCCCCAGGAGTTCACCAGATTATTGCAGTTTTTAATGCAATGCATATTAAATGTGTGGGTTTTTTATTACATTTTAAATGCTCATTTTCAACCAGAGAAGAAAACATATGCAGACCACATATCCAACTAATGATTCACTTTCAGAGCTTTAAGGCTCAAATGTGAAATGTCCCCCAACAAGGCTCACTTGTTTGAGCACTGAGGCCCAGCGGGTGACACTGTTTTGGAAGGCTGCAGACATTAGGAGGAAGCAGATGCAGGTCCTGGCACTGTAGGTTCATTATCCCCACCTCTCAGCCACCCACGGGAACGTGCTTTCTGTTCTGGGACTGACAGACGAGGGACTCCATGCTCCATCCTCTGCTGTCCCTGGCAGACGACTGAAATCCCCTGAAACCATCCTCCCTCCTTAGACAGCTTTTGGGCATTTCCTCACATTAATCAGAAAATGAATACATTCAGTCACATCAAAAAACAAAACAACAACAAAAAATACAACCCAACAACTCATTTGGCAGCCATGTGAGACATTTCAACAAGAGACCATAAAAATTAGGCAAATAAGCCATAAAAAGACATCAATGTATTAGTCATTAGGTAAATGTAAATTCAAACCACAAGGAGAGATTAGGATACACATGTGTGTGAGTGGGTGAGCACATACACACACACACACACACACATGCACACGCACACAGGCATGCAGGCACGCACCCCTATCAAAATGGCTAAGATAAAAGACAATAATAATGCCCACTGTACTGCTCACAAGGATGTGGAGACTAAATCTCTCACAACTGCCAGAGGGAATACAAAATAGCACAGCCTAGAAAGTTTGTCAATTTCTTTGAAAAGATTAATACATGATTTCTAAATGAATTAACAAATTACAAATATACTGTTAACCACAGAAATGAAAACTATGGGCCAACAAAAAACTTGGCCCCAAATGCTCATGGTGGTTCTTTTTCTAATAGCTCCCAACTAGAAACAATTCAGGTGTCCTTCAATTGATATGTGAAAAGATGGGGCTGGGCAGACTGTGAAGTTATCAAGAGCTCTGGTGCTCTTCTAGAGGACCTGGGTTCAATTCCCAGCACCTACATAGATGCTCACAAACTGTTAACTCCAGCCTCAGGGTCTGGTGCCCTCTTCTGGCCTCTCATGGGCACTGCATGCATGTGACGCACAGACTCAAGCAAGCATTTATACACATAAAATATAAAATCTAAAAAATAAGGTAGAGTCACAGGTAGCTGAGGGGAAAAGCCAGTATTTGTAGACTATAAAGATCCCATTTATATAACTATCTTACAATGACAGAATAACAGAAATGACAAGTAGCTTAGTGGATACTAAGGAAAAGTAGGGACAGGAGAGCAGGAAGTGTGGCCATGCAAAACGTAACAAAACTTTTCAGTGGTAGATATGTTTTGTCATATCTTTATATTTTCTTTAATATTTTACTTTATAATTTTATACTACTGGGGACACTGGGTGAAGGATGCCTAAGAACTCTCTACAGTCTTACAACAACATGTCAATCTACAATTACCTTCATTTTAATTATGATTAAGAACACCCAAATTATACAAGTTACAGCTGAAAACAGTATTTGTCCCCATCAGCAGACTCTGTGGTACATGGGCACAGACTGCTATGTTCAACTGCATACTATATGTTTATATTAAGGAGCTGATGAAATTATTTCAACTTTTAAGAATTATATATATAAACACATATGCCAGCATAGCAGTGCATTTTTAAAACATGTAAAGCATTTCCTCTGCTGCACATGCTAGACTAACCACTATCTAAAATAGTGATGAAAATAGCTTTTTCAAGAACTAACTGAAAACAACCCATTCCAGCCTCTGCTGGCATATCTGCCGGTCACCCTCCCTGCCAGAAGCAGGGCAGTCAATTTAAGACCTCACACACACTAGTCCTACGCTCACCATGACTTCAGTTAACACACAATGGCAAGCAGCAGTGCTGTGCATGGCTGTGCATGGCTGTGCATGGCTGTGCATGGCTGTGCATGCGGCAGCTGGAAGGTAGGCAGTTCACTATTAGGAGAGATGGGAGAGGTGGGGTTTAAGGTAGGCAGTTCACTATTAGGAGAGATGGGAGAGGTGGGGTTTAAGGTAGGCAGTTCACTATTAGGAGAGATGGGAGAGGTGGGGTTTAAGGTAGGCAGTTCACTATTAGGAGAGATGGGAGAGGTGGGGTTTAAGGTAGGCAGTTCACTATTAGGAGAGATGGGAGAGGTGGTATTTTTAAGATGCACCCTCTTCCGCCCACCATGCCACGCGGGAATGTTCCCTCCATAGAGAAAGACAATGATATGGGTCTGTATAACCTTCTAGCCTGGACCCCAGATGTCCCCTACTCCACTAAGTGAGCATGCCACCATGGAGAGAATTTTACTGTTGAAAGGTATGTGCACCTGTACATACACCCACTCTCACACATTTCCAAACACAATTACGTGTGTGTGTGTGTGAGAGAGAGAGAGAGAGAGAGAGAGAGAGAGAGAGAGAGAGAGAGAGAGAGAGAGAGAGAACCCTTTCCCTTTATATTCTTGAAGATCTTCTCTCCAGACACTGACCCTGCCCTCTCTCTGATCTCTTTGGTCTCCTTTACACGACTCCTTCCACTGCCCATTATGCACATTCTATTTAAAATAGGTGCCCAATAGCTGGTTTTTAAAATGGGACCATAATCTTTGAAGAGAATTGCTTTTCCAAAGTTATGATTTAAAATGTTTTCAAATTGGTTTTTAAAACACTTTTGTGTTTGTTTTTTCCAATCTGACTTTTTCTGTGTTTACCTTATTACGATACCAAATTTATCACACAAATATTAACAACTTAAAAACAGGAAAGAACTCACCAGTTTCCCCAGTTATGAAAGCCTGCGGCCTGGAGCACATGCACGGCGAACTGACAAATATACACGAAGAAGAACACAAAGAACCTGAAGGAGCTGTCACTCCTTAAAAGAAAAGGGAGAACGTTACTCCGTCACTCCTCACGTCACCTCCCTCTCCACAGCAGACTGGCCAGCCTTCGGGGGCACGCCTGAAGACCCACACTGCCACTCCCGCATTACTCTGCACACATGTCACTGTCCCCGGCTAACTTCCAGCCACACCAGATTTCACCTTAGCAGAAAACTCCGTGCTCCATTTTTAAAAATGTTTTCCGTGGCTTTTGGGTATGGCTGTTTTGCCTGCATGTATGTCTGTGCACCATGTGCTGCAGTGACCTTGGAAGCCAGAAGAGAGCATCGGATATGTACTTTACCCCTTTGATACTGAGAACTGAAGCTCCCTCCTCCCTCCTCCCTCCTCCCACCCCGTTTCCCGTCATCCGAGTGGCCGCTCTGAGAGTTATGAGTGGGAGGAGTGCAGTCTATTCTCTTTCCTGCCCTGCTCCCATCATTCAGCAGTTATTCAGTCACCTGTGTGCACATGCAGGGCTTCTGACCCTCCCACTGTTGGGGTCATTCGTCGGTGGCGGGAAGGGGTGCTCCCCGCCTTTTGCTACTACAGATCATGCTGCTGTGGGTCTTCATAAGGAACAGACTTCCTTTTAACTTGGTTAAACACCTATACGTGGGATGGCTAGTGTATGTGGTAAATATGCATTTAAAGTGTTGAAGAAACAGCGGAACTGTTTTATAAGGTTGCTCTTTTTACACTCCTACTGGCAGTGAGTGGGTCTTTTGGGTCCTCTGCAGCTCATTAACACTTGCTGTGGTCATGTTTACAATCCTAGTCATTCTCATGGACATGTACGGTTATGGTGGTGACAGTTATCTTATTACTAGCTGGGCTGGGCTCATGGAATCTAGGAGATATTAGTAAAGCAGACATGAGGCATTTCTGGAGAAATAAATCAGGAGGGCTTTGACCTAGTGAGTAGTTTAAGCTGGTGCTGGATTCAAAACCTGAGTGGGCTGTTGGGGGTGGCAGTAGGTCACTGGGACATGGTGAGGGCTTTACCTGTCTTTCCTGTTTCCACTCCACTCTTCTCCCTCATATGCCCACCATCACCAACCCAAAATGCTGACACCACAAGCAAAACCAACCTTTCTCTTCAGATGCTGTCTGGCATTTTGTTATTGCAACAAGAAAGCTAACAACACTAGTGTCTTTCTTTACACATTCTTAGTAAGGAGTGTTGTTCGGAGACTTTTTGTATCCATAAATCTTTGACTGTGAAAAATCTTGTTCTTGTGCCTTACCTAGATTTCCCCTCTTATTCTTGATTTTTGAGAATTTGATTTAAACAGTACATATTCTGGACAAGTCCTTACTTACATGCATGCTTGGGAAAGATCTTGCAGTTTGGAACTTGTCTTTCCAATCTGTGCATACTTATGTATAAAAGTACATGTGTGCTCAGAGCATCATGTCTTCTCAATCTGTGCATATATGTATATTGAAATACACATGCATTCAGGCATTATAAGAGTGGCAATACAATCTGTGCATATCTGTTTAGGAAGCATTGTGTGCTTGGGCATCTAACAGTATCTTCTGAGGAAAAGTTTGGCCTTTTGATGAACTCCAGTTTGCATATTCATTTATTTTTACTTTAGTACTGAATTAAAATAAACCACTTCACCAAGGCCAAAGAAGACCTTCCCTGTCTCCTCCGTAAGGCCCTTGGCTTCTGCACCTGTGCACATGCTCTTTGAACCGACTTTCTGAAAACACAGAATAAGGATTGGGCTAGCCAAGCACCCCAGTCAGGTCTCTTAAACAGCCTTGTCTGGGCTATACACACAGCCTTTGGATCTTTCTCAAACATCAGATGCCTAGTCACTGTCCTTGCAGAGATTCAGTTCCCAGTACTCACACAATAGCTCACAATCATTTAAAATTCCAGTTCCAAGGGATCCAATGTCCTCTTCTGGCCTCTGCTAGCATTGCAGGCACATGCTACACACACACACACACACACACACACACACACACACAATAAAAGTAACTTCTTATTTAAAATTCATTTTTACAGGGCTGAAGGGATGGCTCAGGGGTTTAGAGCACTGGCTGCTTTTTCAGAGGTCCTGAGTTCAATTCCCAGCAACCACTTGTGGCTCACAACCATCTATAGTGGGATCTGATGCCCTCTCCTGGCATGAAAGCATACAGCACCATATACATAAAATAAAGGTAAAAGAAAAAAGCTTTTAAAAGTTGGTTTTTACATATGGGAGGGTTCATTTTAGCTTGCAGATTGTTCATTTGTTTATGATAAAGGAGCACCGACGGCACAAAGCCATCCTGCTGTGATTACGTGGGGGGGGGGCTTTCTTGTAAGTCTTCCAGTCAGTCTATCGGTCTGCCAACTCTGCTGTTCTTTTGCAGACTTGCTTTCACTACTTTAAGGCCTGGACCCTTCCATTCATTTCTGGAAGAAACATGTCACATTTCTAGAAAACAGCCTGCTGGGACTTTGAATGGGGTTTGCTGCAGACCTGAAGAATCATTTTGAAAAAGTTCATGCCTTAGTGCTAGTGAGTCTAATCCATTAAAAAGTTATGTATCTCCATTTGTATTTTCTACAGAGATGATTATGGGCCTGTAAGTACAGTCTTGCTTCTTTTCAGACCTGGAGGCCCTTTGTTTCTTTTCCTTACCTAACTCTATTGGTCAGAACTCTGAACAGGAATGTTGAGAATAGACGTCTTTGCATGGTCCTGACCCCAGAGACAGCAAGTGCTCTCAGCCTCACAGCACAGGGCGTGTGGCAGCTGTGAGCTACAGTTCCCCACCTTTACAGTTCCTTTTCTGCCTGAAGAAGCCGCTCTTCTACAGTTAATGCTCTGTTTCTAACATAAAAACGCATTCAATTTTGTCAAATGTTTTTACTTTATTAGTTAAGACTGTCATGCTAATAATAAATTGTAGGTTATAATGTGGTGGACTACCCTAACTTTCTAATATAAAACCAACCTTACAAGTCGGGTGTTGAGGCACATGTCTGTAAACCAGTACTCAGGAGGCTGAAGCAAGAGGATGCCAAGTTCAATGCCAGCGTGGGGCCACACAGTGACTCTCAAAAAGCCTAACTTTTGGAAGAAGTGTTTAGAAGAACGCCATTTTTAATTAGCCTAAATTTATCACAGTTCTGTTCAGCATAGTCAATTTCCAAGGAATGTATTGTTCTACTTGCTAAAACTTCATCCCAAACTGTTCAACAGAAAGGAAAAGTGATGGGAGTAAGCCCCTCCAACCTGTACAGCACCTTCCCTTCCTCACAGGATCCACCAGCCTTCCCACCCCCTGTCTGTCCTCCGGCCCGCCCCCTTGACAGCTTCCCTATCCTCGACCCTGGGTCTTCACTGTGGCAGCAGGCAGGCGCCTCACTTGTGTATAAACACGCATCACACATTCTTCTTCTCCTACATTCCTCAGAAAGAATGCTTCAGGTTGGGGTTTCGTCTCCTGCACCATGGACGGCTTTAACGGCTGCTGGTGTTCTCAGCAAACAGTGTCAAGACAAGAGGCTGAGCAAGATCTTACCAAAGACTGAGATTTCCTGTTTTCCACAGAGTGTGTTGAGAAAGCTGGGAGGATCTGGGTGCTCCACGAGCTTCAGGAAGACTTAGAAGTCACTCTCCATCCTCAGCCCTGCCCGCATTGTCTGCAGCTGCACCTCATGCTTCACTTCAGTCTGGGGACCTCTCAAGCTGCCTGAGGAGCCACGTAGTTTGGCCTTTACTTTTTCCATTGCTAACTTGAGTTTCAGTTTCCATTAGATCAGTTACTGCTCCCTGCCCATGGCTGGTTTAGTTATTTGTTGCTCTGTAGATGGCTTGAGGACCTAGTGCGTGGCAGGCTGACCCTGGGGGTTTATGTCTGACCTCCCAACAGGAATAAATACATCCTCTCCCATATGTGTATGTCAGTATACTATGCAGCTCAAGTCACTAGTCCTTGATATTCTTAAGGCTCTACAACCTTTTTAAAGGTCATTTGAACCAGAGTGTCACCACAGCCCTTTAGATTAGAGGCTCCAAGCTTCTGTAGGTTCCTACCTTACTATAATGTTGCTACTTTGCAATGGATTCAGGTAGTTCAGACCCCCACCACAATGTTAAGGTACACTGGAATATTTACTAGTGTTGTTTATCTCTTGAATAGTCGTATGAGCAATGCATTTGGTGTTATTACAAAGTTCTGCGCCAGCTAAGGGTGGGGATGCCTGTTGCTCCAGTGGGCTTGGTGACTATTTCGCAAAGGCAACACATCAGCCAGGAACAAAGAGGGCTGTGGTAGCACTTCTTGTCTGAGTATATGCTAGGGCATGACAGTAACAAGATAGCGTATAGTTTAGAGCCACTGGGGCAGAGCCTGGGGATACAAGAGCAGTCCTCCAGCCCATCCTCCATGGAGAGATGCACAAGCCATCGTAAATTATTGGGACTTTTTCCTGAGGGAGGTAACTCTCAAACCTTAGATCATATTGGGTCCTGTCCTGTAAAGCAGTTTTACAATAACAGAGGAGACGGAATATAGGAAATAAAAAATAGGGGACTAAGAAGTAGTCTAAACCAGAGATATGACAGAAATGAAGTGACTACCACTGTGGCAGCTAGGAGCAAAGAGTGTTTAAAAAAGGAATCTTCCTGGAGGCAGAGGCAGGCAAATCTCTGAGTTCCAGGCCAGCCTGGCTACAGAGCTTCCAGAACAGCCAAGGCTACACAGTGAAACCTTGTTTCAACCCCTACCCCCCTTAAAAAGGATCTTCAAAGGGGTATATTGAAGGCAGAAATTTAGCTTAGAAATTCAAAGATTTCTTAGGATTAAGAGTTGTGTAGAGAAGCCAGTGAGAAGTGGGAGGCAGAAGAAGCAAGTGAGAATTTGAGTCTGTCTTCAAAGGGAAGGAGGAAGGTAGATGTGCTTGTACTGAGCCCAGAAACACAGCAATGAGGTGGCCCTGCAACATGATTTCCTTATTGCAAGTCCTGTTCTACCCACAAATGTGCTTTTCAGGCCATACTTTAAAACTAATTTGAGTCTTTGTAAAGTTATATACACTAGCTGCAAGTCAGATAACAGTGCATGGGAATTCTGCAAAAACAGTCTCCTGGCTTCATCACAGCCCAGTCACAACTATAGTCCCAGGCACCACCAAGCTTTGCTCGAGTCTCTTTGGTGGCCATACCCTGCTTAGCTTACCCTAATGCTTCCTATCATTACCAAACTGTGAAGAGGACTACCATTCCAGTGATGGAGACCTGGCTTTCCTTCCGAGTCTTCCCAGCAGTCTAACCCACATAAACTTGGGTTTATCAGTAGTTCTGCTCACTTATTAGACCTGTGAGGTTCCCGAATATGACCTACTATTCACATCTGAGGCATAGTGATATGCTGGTAATGGGATCCCTATTAAATTTCTGTTTCCCTGGAGCTAGAAACTACCTTTGTGGATGGTTTTTATACATTCCTATCAGTGCTTGACCACTAATTCTCTTAATATGTATAAAATCCTTTTTAACCTATTCAAATTAAGTCTGCCAATTTTATCTCCATGGAGCTGTCTCTCTTAAAACCTAACCAGCTGTCTTAGGGTTTCTATTGCTGTGAAGAAGTTCCATGACCATGGCAACTCTTACAAGACATTTAATTAGGGTGGCTCTCTTACAGTTTCAGAAGTTCAGTCCATTATCATCATGGTGGGGAGTATGGCTGTGTGCAGGCAGACATGTTGTCAGCCACACCTTGAACAGAAGTAGACAGTATTACTGAGCAAAGCTTAAGCAAGAGACCTCAAGCCTTCCCCCACAGTGACACACTGCCACCCACAGTGACACACTGCCACCCACAGTGACACACTGCCACCCACAGTGACACACTGCCACCCACAGTGACACACTGCCACCCACAGTGACACACTGCCACCCACTCTGAAGCTATGGAGGCAGGTACATTCAAACTACCACTCCAGCTTATGTCTGAACTTCTAGAGCCGGAATGCAGGGTACCAGCCCATCCAGAACAAAGGAGGGAACCAGCCAACACAGAATGCAGGGTAAAGTCGCACACAGAATGCACTGCTCCACTGTCTTTTAGTGTCCTGTGCTGCTATTCAAAACTGATGCCATCCTGATGGTTTAAAAATAAGTTTTGGGAGTTTTCCACTTTATAAAGGGAAAAAGCAAAGGGACAGAAAAACAAAGGAAAAATAGATTTTTCTCTTATTATATTAGCAAGAGTTTCCTTAAAAAGATTAGAAACAAAGCAGAAACAACCAAAGATTGATATAATTACCTTTCTCAGAAACTAAGGACCTAAGGCTACACCTGGGCAGGGCATTTCAAGTAAGATATGTCAGGAAGATGAGCTCCTGGCTACAACTCCTAAAGAGATTAGCATGGCCAAAGGAGGTAAGTGGGGGAAATGGAAAGCTGCTTTCCCATACAAGTCATTTATGACTCATCAGTTTAGAATAAAGGGAAAACAATCACATGATCATGTCATCAGACACAGAAAAGCACCCGGGAAGCTCCAGTCCCATTCAGGATAAAAATTCCCATAAGCTAAAATTAGAGGAGAGAGTCCTCAAACCAACAAAGGGTGTCTACAAAAGGAGCCTGCAGCCTACATCACAGATGACGCTGATTCCTTCCTCTAACCCTGGAACAAGACATGGCCACTACTCCACCTTCACTCTCCATAAACTGCAGCCAGTTACTAAGGCTGTCAACAGGAAGAAAGAAGCAAGGCAGAATAACCCATTTGGAGGAAATCGGAACTTGGGGCTCACGGGATGCTGCTTCCTACCCCATCTCCCCAAGAAGCTGGGATGAAGGTATGTACCATCTGCCCTGGTCCAGCGTTCTCTTCTTAAAGCCATGGTCACAAGGGGCTCCACAGCAAAGAAAGGTTACATGATCACATCACAAGGCACACTAGGCACTTAGAGTCTAAGATTAGAAAATGAAGGAGCTTGCCTAACTTTATTAACTAGCTATTCTAAAACTAGCTAAGCTAATGAACCAATTAACATCCCATAGAACATTCGTTTAGAAAATGCATTACCCAGTATATTTAAATAGTGGTCACTTCTATATAAAATAGTATTCTTTATTTTATAGCCTAAGTATGTTTTTAAATGTCACTGTCTTTGGAGAAACTAAAGATGAATATACACAGAAAGTATTTATCAAGCTGTTGAGTGAAAGTGTTTTATATGTGTTCACCTTACCTGGATTTATCTTAAAACAAAGGCTGTAAACACCAGTTATAATTCTGAATTTAGACATGTGAGGGAAAAAGGAGTAAACAGGTTTTCCTAAAGTCATGTATGATGTATGGCATAAAATGTTACATGCTAAAATCTAAGAATGTTAATCTTCCTTTATTGGTTTTTCAAGTGAAATAATGCTTATGAATTTTATGATTTAATGCAAACAACTTTTATGAATGTATAATAAAAATCTTAATTTTATATTATGCTTATATTTATTTTACTGGGGAAAGAGGTGTGCTTGCCATGGTGTCCATGTGGAGGTCAGAGGTCAACCTGCAGGAGTCAGTCCCCTCCTTGCCATATAGAACCTGGGGATCAAACGAAGGTCCCCATATTTGACAGCAAGCACCTTTAGCCATTGAGCCATCTCACTGGCCCTCATTTTTAAAAACATTAATGAAACTATATCAACTTTCCCTTTTGAGTGCAATATAGATTATTTCATGAGGTGTTTGTTTGTGGCAGGGTCTAACTCAACCTGATACCAACTATGTTGCCCAGGCTGGCCTACAGCAATCCTCCTACTTCAGCCTCTTGGATGCTGAGATTCCAGGAGTGAGCCACCCACACACTTCAGTTTTAAAGCACATGCATTAAACACGCACACTTTACCTGAAAGCTCCATAGAGCGGTCTGTACCAACAGACAAATGAGCAGGGCGTAAAAAGCAAGAACCACAGGATGCTCAGTCCAAAGTCCACTGCTCTTGAAGCATCAACACAGAACCAAGCCAGGCACCCGAAGATGTTTAGAAACAAAGTTACAGCGTGGACTGTAGGATCAGAAGACAAAACGGGCTGTTTACTTCAAGTCATCATCCAATACGCGTTACAAATAAAACACACATCCTACGAGCATGTATTCTTCCTATGTTTTCCATGGCATGTTCTTCAAACACTGCTACTTCTTACACAGAATTTGAAAGCAGAGCACACACAGTAAGCACTTTTAGGCAAAACTCCTGCTGGCTTTCTCCTCCTCCTACTAGGCAACTACACAGCCAAGCCCAACTCTAGGCTTGCTTTCCTGAGAAGAAAATGGGCAGTGAATTTCTTGCACCAGAGCCCAAGAAGATAAGCAGAGCTTGTTAAAGACAAAAGCAAACAAACAAAACACAGAGTGGGTCCTCAGAGCACCATCTATAAGGAGGACACTGCAGACTGAACTGGAGTATATCAGAATACAGCAGCAATGCTTGTGACTGTGGGGGTCTGTGAGGATGACCACCTCACGCCAGCCGAAGGACTTCCCTATGCTGCTGGCATGCTGCCCTCCCTAACAAATCGAAAACCCCAGATCTGAGTAACAATGCTATGATCAGAAAGAACCGTGCTTACCAGTTCTAACTCTTGTTTACACTCACTTTTATTTTACGCATTTGGACGTCTGCCTGCATGCATATACATGTACCCTGTGTACAGGGCCTGAGGAGGCCACACGGGGCACTGAACTGAGGATGGAGATGCTGTGAGCTACCATATGGGTGCTAAAAACCAGTCCCAGGTCCTCTGCAAGAGCAGCAAGGCTCCTAACCCCTGAGCCATCTCTCCAGACCCCTACAGTTTCAACTTTTTAAGGTGATTCTGTAAAAATTTATTCATGGGTGGAATTTCATTATGAGAAATAAATTACCATAAAATTAAAATACTATGAAATGTCTATTATCAATAAAAATGTCAACTATGACTTAGATTAAAAAATTAAAAGATTATTAAATCTACTACAAACTCAATATACATTAAAAACCAATTTTAAAATCTCTTTACAAATCAAAATAAAAAATTTATGGAGCAGGATAAAACCACTCCTTCTGGGTGGCCTGATGTGTTCACAACTAAACATTAAATCAATCAACTATGGAGAAACAGCTCCTGAGCCTGAAAGTAAATCTGTAGTAGCCTTGAAGGGCTTTTATTTTTAAAATCCATATCTTTCTATCACAGAAGAGAAACTGTACTAATTGCTCAGTTACTACTGGGGATGAATCCTCAGGAAAGCTGGCCTAATAATGAAATGACTCAAAATCCTTTTCCTCAAAATAAAGAGTTCTGAGGACTTAAAAACAGAACAAAACTCCTGTGAAATAGGAAATTATTTTGTTCCTTTAGAACTTCTGGCTATCTTAAGTTTGAGGTAGACGCAGGTGTGTGTGTGTGTGTGTGTGTTGTGTGTGTGCTAATGTCAGCACATTCTAACTTAAATTTCAATCTTTATAAGAACAATTTTTTAAAGATTATTTTCTATTTCACTTACAGAAAATGAGAACCATTTATATGTGGATATAACTGTTTTTAAATCCATAAAAATTCTTCAGAGTACAGAGAATATCAATCTAACTTTGTGTAATGTGTTAGATTTTTTTCCTAGATTAGTGAGTCATCTCACACAGGATAAAAAGCAGTCTGTCTAGGGCACCTGGTGATGAAGCTGTCCACCTGTGCAGGGGTCAGAAGGCAGGCAAGGGCCATGTGTGTCATCATCTGTGTTCTTAATTCAGTGTCTATGCTGACAGATGCTGAGAGAACAGGACAAACACTGAACAGACCTTTAAGCCACTTTGTTCGCACGATATGCAAGATGAGTTACACTTTTTGTGAAAGCTTTATCTACTTGTTATGACACACTCAAATCTGGTATCAGTTGGCCTGGATTTGCAGCTGCCAGTGCCATTGATCCCCAATGGCTACAGGTGCATGCACATATCTCCTCTGCTACCTGGTGTCCATGACTTTTTTTTTTTATTCAAAAAGCACATTCAAAAGGGTCAAGGTTCGATGGGCAGCCGTGGTGCACACCTTTAATCCTAGCACTTGGGAGGCAGAGGCAGGCAGATCTCTTGTGAGTGTGAGGCCAGCCTGATCTACAAAGAGAGTTTCCAGGATAGCCAGGGCTACACAGAGGAACCCTGTATTGAAAAAAAAAAAAAGGGTCAAGGTTCACTTTGCAGTAATAATTCTAATTGCTTTGGTTCATTTGCAAGTTACACTATCTGCTTTCATTTAGGGACCGTCAAAAACACATCATCATATTCACTAAAAAGCTAATCACTTTTCCATCTTGGTATTTTGTAGATGACATACTATGGAATCTTGGGCTTGAGAACCAAATTACCAGAATAGCTTGTCACATAGTGACTTGCTGTATAATGTTAGACAAGTTGGATAAAGTTTTAGCTTCTCTAAGACTAGATAATGTCGTACCTGCTTGAGGATGTGCTTGGGACTCTCAACTGCCTGGCACAAAGTCAATCTCTAACAAATGCGAGCTCTCACTATGACTGAGCACAAAGCTGCAGTCAGTCCTGAAATCCACACTTTGGGGAGTGCCCAACTAAAGCAGTCTCTACTCTAAGCATGGGCTAATCCCTGAACTGCTTGCACATCACGGTAAGCAGTGCTGCTTCCAAACAGAACCCTAGGATCTTTAGTCCTTTTTCTAAACAGATCAACAAACTAGACAAGATTGAGAAGAACTGTAATTAACTGCATTACTTCTGAGAGACTCTTTAAACCAAAACCAAAAAAAAAAAAATCAATTTTGAAATCGTCAGCATTAGTAGTTAACAAGTTAAAATTAACCATCTTTCCTATCCAACCTCCATTTACTAAATTTGTCATTTGTCATAGAATATTCTTTCTACCCCTTTGCCATAAAAAAAATTTAAGTTAAATAACTTATGCCTAAAATACTGTCTATTTTTAAAATTCATATATAAAAATACAAATGTATATATCACAGAAATATATTAAACATAGAAATTGATTAACATGTACATATATAGAATTATAATACTACTGACAGCAAGATCAAATCTCATGAGAGTCTGAAAGTAATAGCCAGCTAGGTGTGGTGGCACACACCTTTAATCCTTGAACTTAGGAGGCAGACACAGGTGGATCTCTGAATTCAAGGCCAGTGTGGTCTATGTAGTGAATTCCTAGACAGCCAGGGCTACATAAAGAGACCCCGTCTAAAAAATATTTACCACTGTAATTTTTTGACTATGAGAGCAAATGTTCTCTTTTAACTGTAACAAAAGTAATGTCCATAAAGACCTGCTTCTCATATGCTGATATGAAGAATGAAACTCACACACTCTCATCGGTAAAATGTGTCTACAAATTACCTACTGTCCCATCTGTCCAGCCTTCCCTCCTGACAGAACGGTGTCAAACAGGGATGAGACTATGTGGAATACAAATCAGAGTGGGTGGAAGCCTGTGTATACACAATGAACCTTTAGCAGCTTGACATTCATGTAGTATTTCAGAGTTGGGATTATACTTAAAATATGTATATCCCAACTGACAATACACTCTAATGTTGTCTAATGAAACTTTCCTATATTCAGCAATTTCAAGAAGTATCCACAGCCACTTGGAGATTAAAAAGTACACTGTGCCGGAAGTATTTTTAAAGTTATAGTTCACATTGCAGTATCTCTTTCTAAAAACAGCTGTAGTGCTACATTGAACAGAATCTAAGTGATACTCCTCAGCATAAAAATAGTATGCATAATTTTGTCAAAGCAAGTCATGCCTAGAAAACATTCTTCTAAGGAGTCTTTACAAAATCCTACCCATGTGGCAGAGAGGATGCCTTTTCAGTCAGTGCTAGCTTCCCTCAGCCAAAGACTTAGATTGCTATTTGTTACAATTTCTGTATCTAAATATGATGTTCAACTCTGAAGCTATAACTATTAAGATCTATATGAAAAGACATTTAGCATGCATTTAAAATGTCACTTTCAAAAAGGTGTCTATTAATAATGAAAATATGAACTCAAAATGTGTACATATAAATATAATTTGTTCTATACTCACACATCCATAAGTAGTACATAAGTTTTACTGTCTTTTGGAATTCTACAGGAATGTCTACAGAAAAATCTTGGTAGAAACAAGGTCCCACAGGAAAATTGCTAGGAAGAGGTGGCCAATTATTTTTTCTCCCTGTAAGTTAAAAAAAAAGTTATTGCAATATATACATCATATTCTTACTTTGGTTGTGGTGGTATAAGTCATACAAACACTAACACTAACTGCTCCCCTCTCTACGTTCTTACAACTTTGAAAGCAAAACTTACATTTTCAATTTTTTTCAGACTAACGTTTTAGAAACAGTAAATGATAAAATAATTTTCCAGTATCAAATTTTACCATGTTTAGCATGTCTATGTACAGGAGAACCCAGTGGCAAACCCTAAGAGTTGTCTAAAACAGATTTATTTCAAAGTCCCAGGGCCTGGCTATTGCAGGAAAGCCATCTGACTCTTAAACTTGTGTTTTCTCCTCAGTGTCACGAGTCTGTCAGGAAAATTCTGCTAAATTCCTAACCGACATGCAGAGGCAGGGTTCTCAACAATACAGACCAAAGAATCAAGTCTGTGTGAATGAATGGGGACTCCAGCATCCTGGAAACTAGAGAAAACAAAGGTGAGGAAGGAATGTGTCTACATAAACAAAGACTGACAGCAAGACCTTGGAATGGAGGCAAGAACAAAAATTAAGCATAAAGCACAAATTCAGACAAAAATACAAATAAACAACTAAGTCACTTTCTAATACTAAAAATATCATATAACTTTTACCATTCAATTATACATATTTTTACCTATCTGGACATTTTCCATAAAGAGAAGGTTGGCCCACTGTTTATCCTCAACATGTCCCCTCAGTCACACTGATTATAGTATTAAAATTGGGGGACTAGGAATGTAGCCCAATGGCAGAGCCCTGGTTCAGCATAAGATGGGTCCTCAGGACAGACATAAGGCATCACACTATGTAAGCAGCAGTCAACAGTGAGCCATGAGGAACGGAGGCTTGGAACTTGCTGTCTGTGTGGTCTAAAGAAACTTAACCTTCATTTCTTCAGAAAGGTAACAACTGGGCCACACTTCCCAGGATGGTGCTGAAGATTTAACAAATTAAAAAGTAAAAAGTACTACAATGTACTAATATACTACAAAATGTAACTATTAATGTCTGTCTCTTCGCTACTGTCTTTACCAAAACATCTTTCATCTTTCACAGATGTGATTATTGTCAGTCAGCACTAAGAAAATAAGATACATTATATTAGTGATATCCCTCTTCTATATAGAGGCTATCTCTGATGCTGCAAGCAAGGAAATGACCCAGGATAAATATGTCCTTGAGAGGCCCAATACCTAAACACTGTAAGAGAAGAAGAAATACTCAGTATTATTTATTGCCAACCTTGTTTGGGGTTGTATTGCTATTCCAGGCACCTAGCAACCCCTCCCCTGACTCCCCCTCCTCCTCAGGAGGCTGCTTACTTCCCTCACAGGTTTTTAGAGTCATCTTTAGCACTCAAGAGCCTGAACAGATTCCACAGCAAGTAAATAATCATACAGATACTTTAGCACTTTTTGACAAGTATGTTGTACCTGTGAGAATAAGATGAATAATCAGAACAGGTCAGAGTCCAAGGTGGGCCACAATCAACACATTCAAAAATCAATGGAACTATTGAGAAGCCCACACCCATGCTCTGAGGTGACCTTCCTTTCTTCTGAGGCCTCTCTTTCCCTTATCCCTCATGCTTAAGTCTACATTGAGATCTTTCTTTTATGTCCCAGCTCTGTTTCAAAGAAAGAAAAGAAAAGGTTCGAGAGAGCCAAGTGCAGAATCAAAGGCCCCTGGTTTGGAAGGAAGCAGATGTATCAGATCTATGTCTCAACTTTCTCTGTGAGGAAGCCAACACTCGTCTAACCTATCAAAGGACTGTGCTATCTGCCAAGATCGCCAAGCTGCCGGTATCAAGTGAGCAATCTGCATGTCTGACCTCCTTGCTAGACTCAGAAGACAGGGCAGAGGTTTATCACCAGACCTAGCGGCTCAGAGCAAGCACAGACATTTTCATCCCAATGCTTTGGATACTACCATGCTGACTCAGGCTCTGCATCTCCCGTTCTCGGCGGTCTAACTCTGCGGCCTTTCTCTCGAGCTCTTCTTGGCGCTTGAGAAGTTCAGCTTGAGCCAAGGCATGTTCCTAAACAAAATGACCAACACACACAGGTTATCAGGTAGCCAAAACAGTATAACATTTATATGCCCGCTCTCATCTTTACTGTAAGAGAAACCTCAGTTAATCACACTTTCACAATATAGGAATTCCCTGAAGGCTATAGTTTTGAGAAACATTTGATTCATTTTGCTCTTTTAGTTATGGAAGCCCTCATAGGCAATGCTGAGTTCACAGGACAGGAGAATACAAACAAAACCCTACCTCTTGTTAAGAACAGCCAGAGACTGGGGAGAGAGAGGTGGCTTAGCAGTTAAGAGCTTGTGGGCTGTTTCTGCAGAGGACCCAGGTTCAGTCCCCAGCACCCACATCAGGTGGCTCATAACCACCTGTAACACCAGCCTCAAAAGGTACCTGCACTCATGCACACATCTACACAGACACACAGTATGCGTCACTGAAAAACAATAAAAACCAGTCTTTCACAAACAGTAGCAAAAGCCTAGATGAGAGAGAGTAGAGGTGAGGAACAGTTGAGGAAAGATGAACAGAATAAAGGACAACTGAATTAGCTTGGATAAACAAGTCAAATGGTGCAGCAGACTCGGGAAATACAACAACAGTTCATCACATCGTGAATGTCCTAAGATGCTGGGGGACAGGGATGTGCTTATGACACTGTGCCCTCTAACTCTGTTAGAGCTGCCAGGCATTTGTTGGTTTTCCTGGACATTTGCCATCTCCTCCTTCCTCATACTGCACACTGAGTAGTCATTAAGCTCCCCCTCCAGTCATATTTATTATTCAATTATCGTTACTGTAGTAGTATTATGCATTGAGACCAAAGGCAATAAAATTCACTATGTAAACTGTACACTGAGACAATATATGAACTTCCAATATCAATCTACAGTTAACATGCACTAACCTTTGTGATCTGTGGGTAAGCTGGATGTTCCTCTGTTGGCTTCATTATTGCTGGCTGGGTGTTGGGTACATTAGGCATTTTTACACTGCCTGGTGGAGGCTACAAAGGTGAAAGACAAATTATGTAACACAAAAAATTCAACTTAACTTCCTCCGGAAGTACCATAGAAAGCAAAATCCCAAGACATGCCTGCTCTCTCACGGTCATGTAAAATGCTTCTTAGGCTCCACATCTCATTTTGTAACACACTTACCAGTTTTATAATGCTCAGCAGCACACCACATAACATACAGAGCACAACCGCTCCTTTACGGTAAAGCACAAACACCATCAGACTAAACTACATAGAATAGCGGGATGTAGGCATCTGCTTGTACGTGGGATGCTAAGGCAGGAGCCCAAAGACTCAGGAACCTGAGCACATCATGAGATCAAAGAAAGGAAGAAAAGAGAGAAAGGAGGAGGGCAGGAGAGGGAGGAAGGAGAGATATGGAAGTTGAGTCAACTTTTCCCTCTTAAGAAAGACACGTCAAAGTCCTGACAACATTATACAAGAGACCTGCTGCAAAACATCACTAACAGCGCCACTTCGCCAGCGAACACCAGCCATACCTGAAGGTGGCTGCAGCACCAAAGAGGGGACAAGACTAGTCCACCTCTGAGGCATTAGTAAGTACTACATACGCCTGGTGTGGATTCCAGAGAAGGAGTCGATGATATTATAGCAGAAATTATAAATGCTAAACAAAGCACAGAGCAGAACGATTTTCAAGATGAACACAGATCTATAAGAAAACTATTATCAAAGAAATTTTATGTACTTCTCTATTATTTGTCTCCCCCAACACATATATCATACAGCGTATTTTAGGGTTTTCTTGTTTCTTTGTTTTTGAGGCAAGATCTCTTACGTAGCCCTAACTGGGCTGGAACTGGCTTTAAACTTGGAGATCTACCCTCCTCTGCCCCCCAGGTCATGCACCACCATAAAGGTATGCTCCACCATACCCTGAAATATTACTTCTAAATGTTAAAAAGCAATGTGGGCCAAGTGTCATGGCACATGCCCGTATTCTCCACTCTCAGGGGACAGAAGAATTACTGCAAATTCAAAGATGGCCTGATCTACAGAGTGAGATCCACCACACAATACAACACACACCATACACATACACATACACACACACACCATACACACACACACACACACCATACACACACACCACACCATATACACACACACCACACCATACACATACACACACCACACCATACACATACACACACCACACCATACACACACACACCCCATACACACATACACACCACACCTACACATACAACACCATACACATACACACACCACACCATACACATACACACACCACACCATACACATACACACACCACACCATACACACACACCACACCATACACACACACACACCATATACACACACACATACCATACACACACACACCATATACATACACACACACAACCTATGAACAGCTGATTTTCGACAAAGAAGCTAAAATTATACAATGGGAAAAAAGGCATCTTCAACAAATGGTGCTAGCATAACTGGATATTGGCATGTAGAAGACTACAGATAGATCCATGTCTATCACCATGCACAAAGCTTACGTGCAAATGGATTAAAGACCTCAACATAAATTCAGCCACACTGAACCTGTTAGAAGAGAAAGTGGGAGGCACCCTTGAACGAATAGGTACAGGAGACTGATTCCTGAACATAACACCAGTAGCACAAACACTGAGATCGACAATTAACAAATGGGACCTCCTGAAACTAAAAAGCTTCTGTAAGGCAAAGGGCACAGTCAACAAGACAAAAAGGCGACCCACAGATTGGGAAAAGATATTCACTGACCCCACATCTGACAGAGGGCTGATCTCCAAAATTTACAAAGAACTCAAGAAGCAAGTCTCCAAAACACCAAAGGACCCAATTAAGAAGTGGGGGACTGAACTAAATAGAGAATTCTCAATAGAGGAGTCTAAAATTGCTGAGAGACACTTAAGAAAGTGCTCAACATCCTTAGCCATCAGGGAAATGCAAATCAAAATAATCCCTCCTGTCAGAATAGCTAAAATCAAAAACACCAATGACAGCTTCTGCTGGAGAGGATGTAGAGAGAGGGGAATACTCCTCCACTGCTGATGGGAGTACCGACTTGTCCAGCCACTTAGAGGAAATCAGTATGGAGATTCCTCAGGAAAATGGGAATCAGTCTACCACAAGACCCAGCAATTCTACTCTTAGGCATATACCCAAAAGATGCCCATTCATACAGCAAGGATGTCTGTTCCACTATGTTCATAGCAGCCTTATTTGTAATATCTAGATCATGGAAGCAACCTAGATTCCCCACAACTGAAGAGTGGATACATAAAATGTGGTACATTTACACAATGGAGTACTACTCAGTGGAAAAACAACAGAATCTTGAAATTTGCAGGCAAATGGATGGCACTAGAAGAAACCATCCTGAGTGAGGTAACCCAGTCACAAAAAGACAAACATGGTATTTACTCACTCATAAATGGATTTTAGACATGGATCAGGGGAGTGTCAGCCTACAATCCCGGGGCCAGTGAGTCTGGGAAACAGGGAGGTTCCCAAGAGATATGCATTATACTCCAGAGAAGTGGAATGAGGCAAGATCTCCTGAGCAGATTGGGAACATGGGGGGAGGGGAGAGGGAACCAGGAAAAAGAGAGAGGGATAAGAGGAGGGTAGAAGAAGACATGGGGGAGCAGGAAGAGTGAGTCAGGGTAAGAATAGAGGAGACCAGGATGAGAGATACCATAATAGTTGGAGTCCTTATAGCTTTGAGGAGAGAGCTGACACTAGTGAGATTTCCAGAGATCTACAAGGATAACACCAACTGGAAAACTAAGTAATAGCAGAGAGACTACATTAATAGTCCCTACCTGATAAGGTTGATGACTACTTTATATGACATCCTAGAACCTTCATCCAGTGCTTGATGGAAGCAGAGACAGATACTCACAGATAAACACTGAACTGACCCCCTGAAACCCAGTGACAGAGATGGAGGAGTGATGAGTAAAGGGGTCAAGACCGTGCTGGTGAAACCCACAAAGACAGCTGACTGGACAAGGGGGAGCTCTTGAACCCCAGACTGATAGCTAAGAGGCTAACAGGGGACTGATCCAGACTCCATGAATGTAGTGTCAGTGAGGAGGCCTCAGAAATCTCTGGGGCCTTGGGTAGTAGATTAGTGTTCACCATGGCATACAAATGAACTTTGGGAGCCCATTCCACATGGAGGGATGCTCTCTCAGCCTGGACACATGGGTAAGGGCCTAGGTCCTGCCCTGGATGAAATGACAGACTCTGGAGATTCCCAAGGAGGGCCTCACCCTCCCTGGAGAATAATGTGGGGACTGGGGGGGCTGTTGGAGGGACAAGAGGGGGGTCTGGGATTGACATTTGAAGCATGCATGTTTCTAATTTAAATACAAACATAAAAAAATAGAACCAGGAGATGAACATTTAATGTAAGGTTGCGTGCACAGTACCAACAAAGCCAGTAGCATCTGTATAACCTAACTGGAAAAGAAACCAAGAACATGATTCCATTCATGACAGCATTAAGAAAATACAGTATCTAGGAATAAACTGAATTTACATGGTGAAGGTATGGCTTTGTGGAAACTATTCAGGTTACTGCAGTGGTGGCAGAGGACGGGTGCTTGAAGGAGATGATTCGACCCAAATCCTCTTCCTCTCTGTCACCTCCCAGCTGTAAAGTGAGTGGCTTTGTTCCCATGTCCCAGCATGACACACTGCCTTGCCATAGCCCCAAAGCAGCAGGGCCAACCAATTTCAACTGGATCCTCCAAACTATAAGCCAATAGAAAGCTTTTCTCTGTATACAGTGATCATCTTGGGTATTTGTTATAATGACAAAAAACTCATGCTAGAAAAAACTGATGGAAAGAATGAAAGAAAGCACAAGTGACAAGATGGGCCCACATTCATGGTTCTTTTTTTTTTTTTTTTTTTTTGGTTTTTATGAGACAAGGTTTCTCTGTATTGTTTTGGAGGCTATCGGTCCAGCCCGGCCTCGAACTCACAGAAATCCGCCTGCCTCTGCCTCCTGAGTGCTGGGATTAAAGGCGTGCGCCACCACCGCCTGGCTACATTCATGGTTCTTAATGATATTGTTAAAGTGTCCATCCCACCCAAACAGTAATAGTCCAATGTAAGCCCTATAAAATCCCATTGACATTCTTCACAGCAGAGAAAAAAAAAAACCTGATGCTCATATAGAACTAAAGTTCCCCAAAAGTCAATAAATTATGAAAAATCCATACTTCCTGACTTGCAGTTAGATCACAAAGCTACAGTAATCAAAATAGCATGACTCACAAAAAAAAAAAAAAGGCATAAAGAGGCCAGGAAAAGAGGATATCCCAAAAATAAACCTAAGCACATATAGTCAACTGTGGGGGGGGGTAGGAGGTGGAGATCAAAGGACAACTTCCAGTAGTCAGTTCTCTCTACCATATGAATCCTGATGTTCAAATCCAAGTGAGCACTACTACCTGTGGAGTCATCTCACTGACCCTTTGACAAGGCCACTGAAAGAAAGGGGAATAAGACAGCCTCTTCAACAAGTAGTTCTGGGGAAAGATTTCCACATGGAAAGTAAAGAAGGAGCTTATCTCATAGCACATATAAAACCTTACATCAATTCAAATGGACAAAACATGCAAATATGAGGTCAGAAACTACAGAGCTAGCAGAGAGTACAGGAGAAAGCTCTTTGACAAATATGAGGTCAGAAACTACAGAGCTAGCAGAGAGTACAGGAGAAAGCTCTTTGACAAATATGAGGTCAGAAACTACAGAGCTAGCAGAGAGTACAGGAGAAAGCTCTTTGACAAATATGAGGTCAGAAACTACAGAGCTAGCAGAGAGTACAGGAGAAAGCTCTTTGACAAATATGAGGTCAGAAACTACAGAGCTAGCAGAGAGTACAGGAGAAAGCTCTTTGACAGTGGCCTTGGCAGCAATTGTTTCACATATCACAACAAAAATTTA